CTGAGCAACACAGCGAGACCTCACCTCTACAAAAAAATAGAAAAATTAGCTAGGATTGGTGGTACATGCCTGTAGTCCCAGCTTCTCAGGAAGCTGAGGCAGGTGGATGCTTGAGCCCAGGAGTTTGAGGTTGCAGTGAGCTATGATGACACTACTGCACTCTAGCTCAGATAACAGAGTGAGATCTAGTCTCAAAAAAAAAAAAAAATTAGTTTCTCAGTTGTACCAACCACCTTTCAAGAGTTCAATAGCCACACATACCTGGTGACTACTGAATTGGACACTGTAGATAAAGAACAGTTCCATCACTGCACAAAGTTCCATTCAACACCACTACTCTAGACCAGGGGTCAGGAATCTGTACAACAGGGACTTACCACTTATTTTTCTAAATAAAGTTTTATTGCAACACAGCTATGCCCATTCATTTAAATATTGTCCATGGCTGCTTTAGTGCTACAATGGCAGAGCTGACTAGCTACAGCAGAGACTAATGGCTTACAAACCTTACATGTTTACTATCTGTTTATTTAAGACAAAGTTTGCTGATCCTGTTCTAAACTATAAATTCTGATGACAGGGGCTTATGCCTGTGCTGCTCACTGTTGTACATAACCAACTAATATTTATGGAACACCTAATATGTAGCAGGCACTATTCTAGGTACTAGGGAGGCAGCCTTGAACTATATAGATAAGATCCCTATTCTCATCGTTTTCACAGTCTAGTGAAGGATGTAGATGATAAGTAAATAAGAAAATATCAGGCAAGGATGGATGCTAAGATGACAATAAAGCAGAAGGTATAGAGTATAACTCAGGGGTGGCTTCCACTTAGGAAGTTAGGACAGGTCTCTGAATCTGAACAATATGAGTCAATGCTGCAAAGACCTGGGGCAGAAGCAGAGGGAAACATCAAGGCCTCAAAGTAGGAATCAATTTGATGACTTGTGTGAAAAGGAAGGGCCATGTGCCTCAAGAATATACAAACAAGAAGGAAAAGGTAGCTGAGGTGGGAGAAGTAGACAGGGCCAAGAAATGGGGTCTGAATTTTATTATTATCAATGTGATAGAGAGCCAATATAGGATTTTAAGCAGGTATGCAACATGATCAGTTTACATTTTTAAGGATTATTCTGGTGCTGCTAACTGGAGACTGGTTCATAGAAGGGCAAGAAAGGTGTTAGACAAGTTAAGGAGTTTCTTTAAAGGTGTAAGTGAGAAATGGTGGCAGCTTGGCTTGGACTACAGTGGCAACAGTGGAGACGAAATGGAGAAATTCAAGATATATTTTGGTAATGCTTTTCTTATGGATCGGTTGTTGAAGAGTGAGAAAATGGGGAGGTGAAAATGAATCCTACATTTTTGGCTTGAACAACTGGAACACAATGGTATGAATTATAAATATGGCGAAATTACAAACAATAAGTGCTAACATTTATTGAGTACCTATTATATGTCATTATCCTCTCAATTTTACATTTAATTTTCCCAAAAATCTTGGGAAAGTAATACCGGTTTGGTAATGTGTGAATCCATTCTATTTCATAATGAAGGACAGAATCTTAGGGACAATGGCTATGCTGAGTAAAAAGAACGTGGAAAAGAACAGAGGAACCCTTTATTTCCTGGCAAGTACTGCTCCATAAATGATAAAGCTGCTCTTTAATGCTTCCTCCCTTTGCCGGCATGCTTAATTACCCTTAGTAGAAGAGGAAGAAAATTGTTCAGAAAAATAAATCTTTGATTCTTTTCTAATTTAAGTCTACAAAAAATTTTTAAAAAGCTTTAAAATCTATGTTAATTACTGAACATTCATTTACCTTCCCAATGTAGCACTAATCTGATAAATTCACGTTTTAATTGGGAAGACTTGATTACACACACAAACACAAGCACACACTCCCTCCATCTCTGAAGGGGAAAAGCAACAAGGACAAACCGCAGTCTCAATACATCAAAGGATGAGCCGGCACTACAGCCCATACATCATCAAGTTCACCGACGCCCCTAGAGGGCTCTGCCACACAGCCAAGGTCCTGGGAAGCTCACAGACACTTCTACATCCTGCGCACGGATCTCACCTCTCTTCAACTGCCCTCTCGCAAACCTACGATCCTGGTGGGAAGATTTAGGAAAGGCAGTAAAAGCAGAACAAGCAGGGAGCCTGATAACCCCTTAAGTCTCTAATGATATAAATGAAACACCTTGAGGTATTTCCTAAGGAAGAGCTAAATGATCCCTGTAATCGAAACTAGTTTCCAAAGAAGCTGCAAGGGCACCACTACCACAAGGGAAAAAATGGCCAAATATCAGAATGTCTCATGCCCCGGGGGTGGCGGGGGGTTGGGAGGTAGGCGGACATGGCTAGAAACACCAAAATTAATTCCTCAGAGCTAAACAGCTCGCCGCCCAGGTGCACTTGTTCAGGGAACCGTTCCGAAGAAACCTGACGGCGATCAAAATCCTCCCGCCGCTCTCTGGCTGTGTTTATGCGAACCGAACGCTACAAGTTGCCGCCCGCATCCCTCCTCCCAGCTTTGACAGGGAACACGCGCCGCCCCCACACCCACACCGACCCCCGACCCCTCTCCAGCCCGGGTCTAGGCCGTAGCCAAACCTCCATATTCTCATGGAGACGAAGGTTCGCATCTCGTAACTCTGACCACCACCTCAGAGACCCGGAGTCGAGAGGGCACTTTTGCGCCAGGCGCGGGAACCCCACCCACCACCCTCAAAATTACCGCGGAGCAGTCGCGCTCCGGCCAGGTGAGCGGACTGAGCCCGCGGGCGCCGCAGCCGAGCCGCCTACCTTCATCAGTGCCGGCTGCCGCTCCAGGCAGAAGCCGCCGGCCCTGACAACTTCAGAGCTGACCCCGCCAAGGGGCAGTCGCGCCCAGGCCACCTCGGGGGCACCCGAGGGCTGAGCACACGGGTGGACGAGGGAAAGGCGGTCCCCCCTCCAGCCCGGGCTCCCACCGAAGGGAGGAGCCGGGCTGCCGCTCTAGCGGCGCATGAAGGCCGGGTGGGAGGCTGCGGGGTCCTTTCTGAGAAAAAATAAAACTCAAGATACGAAAAACTCGGGATAACTCCTGGTACTCAGGATGTACCGGGAGTGACGCGGGAGACGGCGGCGCGCCGGTCGTCAAGGGCAGCAGAATGCGGGAATGTCCTCGAACGAACGCCGCGGGCCGTTCGCTTCGCGCGTTGCTGTGGCGAGCGCGGAGGGCGCGCGCCGGGAGTGGGGGCTGCGGCGGCGGCGGGCACGGGGCCCCAGCTCAAAGGCCTTACCTTCTTGGTGCCGGTGTCCCCCGCGATCCGAGACACTCCTGTCAGGGAAAAGGAGCGCCCCGGCTGTCCTCCCAGAGTCTCCTGCTGAGGAGACATCGCTGCCATGAAGAAAATCTTCAAGCAAATCCCAGCCCAGGACGCTACGCGGTCATGTCCGCGCGCCGCGGCCGGAGGGCGAGGGCGCGCGGGCCTAGGCGCGGCCGCCGCGCTCAGGCAGGGAGCCGAGCTCCGGGAGCAGGCAGCGCGCCTCCCGTCGGGGCCATGTACCTCCGCCTGCGATCCGCACAGCCGGCTGGAGGCGATCACAGCCGCAACCGCCAGTCAGCGCCGCGGCCCGCCCAGCCTCGGGCCCGCCCCTTCGGTGCCGGGCTCCCCGCACCGGGACCCGCCCCCTGCAGCCCTCCTCCGGCCTCGGCCCTCCTCACCGCGGACTGGGCTTGAGGCGCGGCTGGCCGTGCATAGATACGTCTCTATATACATATCTATTAGGGTACAGGCGACGGACTGATCTTCTCAGTCCCCGACTCAGAGTGGGTCAGGCCGAAGGAGCTCATCGGCCCGAGTCACGCACGAGGGCCTCTAGTGCACGGGCACGCGCTTCTCCCACCGGCCTGCCCACTCCCAACAACTCCATCCCTTTCCGCGCCGCACCCACCAGGGAAGGAACCTCTGCAGCGTGTGCATCAGCGGAGCGGTGGCGACCCCAGCCTGAGCGGAGGAGTCGCGGTGATTCCTGCCTCGCTGTCAGCGGACTGCGGAGGGAACCCCCACCCCCACCCCGTCCCCACTCCCGAGGACTCTGGATGGAGTTGCACATTGCAAGGTGCCGGGCTGTGCAGATTTGGAAGCCCACAGCCTCTCCTGATCTCTTGTGCAATCCCGAACGCTAGCCTGTCGGGGTAACGCTGGCTGGCTTCTGCAGCCGCGGGGCCGCAGCCCCTGCACACGTTTGCAACAGCGTTTCCGCTGCCTGCAGGCTGCAGAGACCTGAGCATTCCCAACGTGAAACCGCAATTAAGGAAAATGCAGGCAGAGTGTGAACGCTGAAACTTGACTAAGCTATTGAGAAGGCTACAATATGTGGAAGTGTTTATCAGATATCTGCGCTGAGAGCAAAACTTCCTGTCAGCCTAAATAGTGGCTTTTTTTTTTTTTTTAAGGCCAAAGAATAATCAGAGGGAGGGGATTTGGAGCTGACAAGGGTTGAGTGTTGCACTTTGCAGCACTGGTTAACTGTGCGGATGATTCGGTAGGTGGCATTCTTCCCTTGGAGTCAGCACTACAGAAACTGCAGGGGATTAGTGAAGAAGGACACCACTCTATGATATTAGGTTGTCGAAGGGATTTGGTTTGTTTTTGTGGTAGGAAGGGAAAAAAATGGAGGTTCCTGTCGAATTGGGCCGTTACTAGGACGGCTTGTAGAAAAATAGGGCTCTGGTAGGGCTGCTGTTCAACACATGCCCACGCACATACCATCACCACCATACCTCAGAATTGTTTATTGTGGAAATAATGGGGAGGAAATGTTCCAGCCCATTTTTTAAGCCTTGTCCACATCACATTGTTTAGGTTTACACAGTCTTTATAAATCTTATGTATGATTTATAAATCATGTATAACTGCGTGTGTATACACACAGTTTTTTATGGTGATTCTTTTTGCAGCCGAGACCTGTGTGCAGCGATAGGACTTTGCCCCCACTGTAGAGTTTATCATGAATTTTAGGTTGCAGCGAGCTTTGCAGTTCCTTTCATTCCTTGTTGAAATCCATTTATAACGTCTTAGCCTCTTTTAGTTCCTGTCATGTATGGACCCTCCCAGTATTCGTTACTCTGCTTCATTTATTTGATAACGCTTATCTCCTAATGTTTCATGTAATTTACTTAGTATGTTCAGTGTTTATTGTCTGTATCCCAGGCAAATGCAAGCTTCCAGAGGGCAGAAATCTTTTGCCTTTTTTGTTCACTATTGTATCCCAAGCACCTGAAACAATGTCTGGCACAAGAAATGTTTGTTGTTTAAACAAATTAATGAGACATACAAAGGATATGAGATAGATCCAGAAGGGCCAGGTAAAGTCGGTTGTTTCAGAGCGCACCATCTATTATCAGGTGTTTCTTTTTGTAATAAATACCTTATGCTCCAAATAAAAATATTATTTTTACTGCATATATTGAAGACTTATGTTCACTTCTTAATTTTTAAGTGCTTTTATTTCAAAATCCATTAGTCTTGGTTTGCATGGAAAACTGTCCCACCCCTCCCTTATAAGGAGTTTTGAGGCAGGTCTCATTTCCTAAAGAAAATTGAGTTGGTGCAGATAAATATCACCAGAGTAAGGTTTTACGAACATAGATCTAATCACATCACTCCCTTGCTTAAGTCCTTCTTTAGCTCCTTGAAGTGTTTATATGTTTCAAATGCCGTAGTATGATATGCAAAACTGCCTATAATCTGACGGCCTCTCCTCCACTTTTGTCTTTTGTCATCTCTTGTTCCTCCTCAGCTCTCACCCTATTCTCTGTCACATCGAACTCTTTGTACTTCCAAGAGCTCGCCTTGACTTTTCACCTTTGTCACCTTGAACCTGCTGTTCACATTCCCTGGGAAGTTTTTCTTCTATCTTTCCAATCCCTATTACTTTACACTTAAATATCTCTTACCTGGTACATACCCAATAAATATTTATTGAGGAAACCTTCAAGACTTGAATCAATAATTAGCTAAGAAAAATCTTTCTGACTTTATTTCTCCTTACCTAGCTACTTCCACATGTCAACTGCACACACAGGGTTAAGTGTGTCTTCTGTAGTACTAACAGATAACATTTGTGGAGTCCTCACTTAATGCCAGACACTGTTCTAAGCATTTTACACATGTTAATTTAGTTCTGTCTTTGTAACAATCCTATCATGTAGTAGATTCTTTTACTACTCCATTTTATAGATGAGAAAACCAAGCCACAAGGATATTAAATAATGTGCCCAAATAGCTGGCAAGTAGTCATGCCAAGTTTGGAATCTGGGAAGTCTGCTCCAGAACCAGTGTTCTTAACCACTTGGCCAAGTGCCTCTCTTGTAAAATGTCTGTTTCCTTCTCTGTATAACACATATTACATTATACTATTGCCATCTGCTTTACTTGCCTTGAAATAAAAGATTGTATTTTAATTTTCTTCTTTATGACAGCCACATAAGTATGCTCTTAATGCTTTTTTCAATTACTTACAGTCCATTGAAAGAATGAAGACACATTAGAAACAATCATCTTCACCTCCATTATTATGCTGTACAGTTTAATGAAGATGCTGTGTTAGTGAAGAAGAAATCTTGGACTAGTCTTTACACAGGGAAACCATTTTCCATGCACTGGTAATGTTATGTTGTAGAAAAGGATATTGCCAGAAAACAAAAGTGATGATAAGACAGCTGAAGGAGTGTGATGACCAATGTCTGCAATGTCTGACACAAGCAGGATGCATACAGAATATTTTGAAAAAAACCTTAAAGCAGAGTACTAAGAATAGCAACATTTAACAGCTGGAAAACACCAATAGCAGACCTTTAGCAGAAACTAATCTAAGAATGAAACCAAAATGTTTTGCCAACCATTATGTTGAATAACAGTGAGGAAATTTAACTATAAAAGGAGATGTCCATGCAACTAATTTATTCAATATATATTTATGTGCAGAATACTGTGCCAGGTACTTGGGGTACAATCAAGATAAGTCCACAGGAATAGCCCTTATAAACCCCAAGATGCAAGCAAGAATCATTGACATTGCTATCCAAATACCCTAGATTAGAGGTTGCGAACCAATGGCCAGCTGGGTGAATTTAGGCATCTTTTTCAACATAATGCACTTTTATTTTTCAAAATTGTTGCCAACTTTGAAAATCATAACATTTCAAATAATATTTTGGTTTCTCTTGAAAAAAAAAATCAAGAAGTTGGCAACACTGGGCTCAAATTCTCTAAGCAACCTGTTGGCTAAAACTGAGTCATAGCTATGTTATTTCATTTAGTGTATATATGTGTTGATATAATTTATTTACTTATTTATTTTATTTCAATAGATTTAGGGAGAACAAGTGGTTTTTTT